TTAGCTTGTACTCAATGGTTAAGTCATAGTCAAGCAATTTATGCAACCAATTTTGTTGCTTAAGGGTTTGGAGTGTGTGTTCAGTCAAACTTCTCAAAATTTTCTAATTTGTGCAAATTACAAACTTGTGGCCCAATAAGTAATGCCTAAACTTGACTACCACTTTAGTTATGGCATAGAATTCTCTAGCATGAACATATTGTTTATGCATTCGATTGGTCATTTTCTTAGAAAAGAAGGCAAATAGATGGTGATTTTGGCTAAGAATTGCACCTACTTCAACACTGGATGCATCAATCTCTAAGGTGAAGGGTTTATAGAAGTCAAACAGTGCCAATACAGTAGCATTAGTGATTGCTAATTTCATATTCTGAAAAGCTAATGTAGCAATAGATTTTCATAGGAAGCTATCCTTCTTAAGCAACTTAGTTAAAGGACCAACCAAAGAAGCATAACCCTTAATGAATCTTTTGTAGTAACTAATAAGGCCTAAAAAAATCCTCAACTATTTCAGATTTACAGGTATAGACCATTCCAAAATAGCTTGAACCTTGTTTTTGTCCATTGCCATATCCTATCTAGAAACTGTATGACCTAGATATTCAACCTGCAGTTAGCAAATGAGCACTTGAAAAGTTTAGCAAACAATTGATGATGCTACCAATTTCAAATGTTATAAATGAGTCATCTAAGATAAGTTGTAAACCAAAATGTAATCAAAGAAGACCAAGACACATTTGCTCAAGAGGTTGTGAAAAACTTCATTCATTAAACTTTGAAAATTAGCATGGACATTAGTGAGCCCAAATGGCATCACTAGCCACTCATAATGGCCCTTCTAGGTTCTAAAAGTTACCTTGTACATGTCTTCTTCCTTCATCAAAGTTTGATGATATCTTGACCTAAGATCCAAGTACCATCTTTTTTTTTTTTTTTCACTAAGATGATTGGAGAAGAAAACAGGCTTTTGCTAGGCACAATAATACCCTTATTGACCATGTTTTGAACCATAATTTCAATTTGTTGCTTTTGATTGAAAGGGTATTTATATGATTTGACCTTAACAAGACCAACACCATGAATCAAAGGAATAAAGTTATTATGAGTTTTGGCAGGTGATAAACCAAAAGGAATAAGTAAAGACTTGCTTATAAGTGTGAAGTAAAAATGTCATTACAGACTCTATGTCGTTAATAACAAACTCTAACCATTGATCTTGAGGTTAAGGAATGGTCTCAAAGTGCAAGGAATATAATTATGCAATGACATGTGTTGCATCCTCCTCAAATGATTGAATTGAACCTAACTAGGAACCTTGCTTTGTTCTCCATGCAACATAATTAAGTGATTGTTTCACAAATAATTTAGAGTCAAATTACTATAGTCAGAAATGTGAGCTCCCAATGTGTATAATTAGGTTGCTCCAAGCACTAAATCTGCACCTGAAACAAATAGTAGGTACACAGGTAGAACAAGAGAGTGACCTTGAATCTTTACCTTTAAGTCTCTAATAAAACCTCCAACAACTAAAGCACTTCCATTCTTTACTAGCACTTTGAAGCCATGGATGAACTCCATTGGCATTTTAAGACAATGAGTCATTCTAGGCTAAAGGAAATTATTAGAACTACCACTATCCAGCAAAACTTGAAAAGACATGCCATTAATAGATCCTTAGAACCTCATTGTTTCCAAACTAGGAGATCCTTTTAAAGAATTGAAAGATAAATGAGGCTCACAATGTAATTGAGATCCAAAATCATTAGCTTCATCAAGAGGATCAGGTTGGACATCTCCTTGTTCATCATCATCTATGTGGATCAGTAAGCATTGTTTGTTAGGGCACTTATGGCTTGGGATGAATTTATCATCTAGGTAAAACATAACCCTTCCTTCCTTTTAAACTATATTTTAATAGGTGTCATTTTCTTAACATTGGAGGTTTCAAAGGTATTTAGAGCAATAATGGATGGAGGGCTGGGAAGTAGTGGTGGTAAGGAAGTGGACTTAAGGGATTGGGACAATGTTTGGCTAAAATTTGTAGCTTGTGTTTTATTAAAATAATTGGATTGGTATGATTTGGTTTTAGGAGTGTTCTTCTTCTCAAGAAGCTTGGCAAGTGAACATCTAATGAAGGTAATTGGAGCTTGGGTAATAACATCTCTTTGGATATCAGTTTTTAAACTCCCAACAAAACAGTCTAAAAGTGCCTTAATGGTAACCCCTTGCACACGATTAGTCAATGTTGTGAACTTAACATAATAGTCATGGACTATCCATCTTGAGTTAATTTGAACAAGTTAGACCTAAGGCATTTATATGGGGATGGACCAAATTCCAGTTCTAAGGCTCCAATAAATCCCATCCAAGATTGAAAGGGATTAGATCTACTCATCATCTAAAACCATGGCATTACATCTTTGTCCATGTGAATCATAGTTATGGTTAATCATCCAGTTCTAAGGCTCTAGTAAATCCAATCAAAGATTAAAAAGGGATTATATCTATTCATCATCTAAAATCATGGCATTACATTTTTGTTCATGTTAATCATAGCTATGGTTAATCTTTGTTCATCTGAAGTATGATAATAGTTAAAAGAAAAAAATGCTCTGCCTTAAAGACCTATTGTAGCATATATGAATCATCAAATCATGGAAAATTAAGCTTCACATTCCTTACCTGAAATGGTGGAGAGAAACTACATCATTGCTACCAGATTTAGCATTCGTGTTGAGCTTCAGTAATCTATTAATTGCGGTTTCGAGTGTCTCAAACCGAGTTGAGTTCTCTAGTTTTGTGGTCAACATAATTTTCATGAGCTTCTTCATATCTGGGGAGAGTTCCTTGAGGCATGTATTTTTCGTCATGAGAAAATGAAAGCACCAATGTAATGTAATGAATTTCTTGAGAAAGAGGGTAAATGAGAATTTAATGGTAAAAACATATGATGTATAGTAAGGTAGTTTCATATAAGAGAAAATGACAAAATGCAAAGAAAATAGATCAAAGAGCAATTTTTAGAGAATGAACTCAGAGTAAAAAAGAAGAATGAACCATAAGAAGAAAGAGGTTCTAATTAATCGATCTACACTTCTCTCTCTACAAAAATGTTCTTGTGTACTAACAAATTTTCTGTTCAAATTTCTTCACTCTTAAATTTGTTTGCTTGGATCACTTGTCTTTTTCCAATATTGTATTTTTTCTGAATTTATTGATATATAGCCAGGACTAACTAAGAGTAGTTTGATTTTATACATTTTTTTTAAAACTCAATTATTTTTTAAAATAGAAACCAAACATACTCTAACTCTCTCAAAATCTCTTTTGCCACTTTTTTCTCAGTATATTCATCAAATGAAAACAAGTTTGTAAGTTTGATTATAGTTTGTAGAATTTTGTAAATAATATTGTCATTTATTTCAGTTCAATTTAAGCTGCTTGTACTGATTTCAAATTTAAGAATAAAGATAGAAAAACCTTAGAAGCCATGAGAAAAGTTTTTAGTGTTAGAAAATTAAGACAAAAAGGTGATATAAAATGTGGATCTTATCAATCAAAACTACAAATGATTACTATTTTAAAACTTTTTTATGTGGTCCAAATTCTTTTAGCACAATCGGAAAGTCTTGTCATTTAATTTTTTTAGAAAAGAGATTGGGAGAAGGGCATTTTATTTTTATTGTTAATTTTTCTGGGTTGGTTTAGGGATCCATTAGTCAAATTTCAAACATATGTTATAGTTTGTTACTTTGTTTTGTGCTCTTCGAACAAACTTTTTCCATAAAACCTATTTATATTATTAAACGCTTACCATTTTAGTTTGCTAAATCCATCATTTAGGCTCTAATCCATTTCTTTTTTTTTCAAATTTATTTTTCAAAATTGTCAAGTGTCTACTTCATTAAATGCTTATCATTTTAATTTACGATACGAAAAAATAATTAACATGATTGGCAATAATAATATATAAATAAAATGATATATATCTACACATTTAATAATGTAATTAAGATACTTATTAGAGTACTAACGCAACACATGGAAGTAATTTCTAATCAAACATACAAAAACATGATATGGTTATATTACTTATTTTTAAATAATTTAAAAATATTATTTTAATGTAAAAATCTATAAGACAGTCATAAAAAATTGAGAGTAAAAGTGTGAATTTTAAAAGTTAAAAAAAAAAAATATGAAACTGTTATTTTACTTCTAGTTACATGAGATACAAAATTACTTAATTAAAAAAAAAACCTCTTACACATCCGCAAATTTTACAATAAAACAAGAGTCAAACAAACAAATCAATTAAAACGCGTGGCATTAAGTTTAGTCTTAAGGGCCAAGCAAAATAGCAAAATATAATAGTTTTTCCACTGGGAAAAATTTTGAAGTGGAACTTGGAATGAAATCCTTTTCAATGAATGGCTTTACTCATTCTTTTGAATCCGCATTTGCTGAATATCTTAACACATTAATCAAAATTTTCTCGAGGCATTTGTATAGGGGCGTGTTTTTAATTTAAATTTGAGTTTGAATAATTCGATGGAAGCATTGAATCATAGATTGATGAATTGGTAGAGGAGGTGGATCTGATAGGGTACAGCAAAACTTTCAAGAATTGGTCGGCACAAGTAGGGTCCATAAGCCCATCGTAGCCGCCCATGGTGACGTGGCAGCAGACAAAGCAAAAGATCCAAACGCATATCACAAGGAATGGACGGCTGAGAACTTAGTGGATTCCAAATCAATCGAGTGACAGTGATTCGGTTTCTACAGAAAAAAAGTCACCGTTGTGTTTTCTGTTTGCTGTTTGGTTTAGTCCACTTTTTTTCTTAGACATTTTCCACAATAGTCTCGCGTATTTTTCTTTTCCTTCTTTGTCGGGATAGGGTTACTCCGAAACCAAACGCACCCCAAACGGCGTTGTCCAAGTTGAAAGTTCATTTGCATTTGAGTTTCATTTCACTCTCATTTAGCTTCTTCGAATATAAAGCTTCTTCTGTGATACTCCTGCGCGAAACACTTCCTTCTGCTGCTGCTGCTACTTCTGCCGTTGCTCCCCTCCGAATCACTTCCCCTGCGAATCACGTTTCGTTCGATCAAGGTGCGTTTCGATCACTGTTTCTTGGATTTGTGTTTTTATGTGGTTTTTTTTACCATGAATTTTTGTGTCAGTTGGTGTTTTTGTTTCTGGATCCGTAAACACTTGTTGTCTTTGCCGGATCGAAATTCTTTTGACATTTTTTACTCTTGCTGATCTGGATCTACTTCGTATGTGCTTATCTTGTGTGTATATGTTTCGATTTTTGCTTAATTTTGTTTTGAGGTGTAATCTGATGCATCAAGTTTTGACTTTCGGTTCGTTTTCATGCGATTTCTAGGTGATCAAACTTAGAGATGATATTTTTTTGTGGATTGTTCTGATATTCATGTTTCCGATCTTTTGAGTCTGTTGATGATTTTCATTTCGTCTGCATGAGAATGACGGGATTGCTTGTTTCTTTCTTGTTTGAATGAAAAATTGAAATGAGTGTGCATAGTAATTGGTTTATTTTTCATAATTGAGAAGTAATGAAGTGTCTCTCTAGTTGTTCAAACATCCATATTCTTTTCTTTGGTTTTATTCTATTTTATTTTTTCTAAACTGCGTATTTCCTGTTCTGCGCTACAGGTTTTAAAATATGGCTGATGCCGAGGACATTCAACCTCTTGTTGTTGACAATGGAACTGGAATGGTCAAGGTTGGAATATGTTTTGCCCATTGATGAGTGCTTCTTGTGCCATTGAAAAGACAGTTTACTTTGTGCTTGCTTAGTATAAATTGAAGACATTTGTTTCATCAATGCTAACACATTGTTTTCTCCGATGTTTGCAGGCTGGTTTTGCAGGTGATGATGCTCCTAGGGCCGTGTTCCCCAGTATTATTGGGCGACCACGTCATACTGGTGTAATGGTTGGGATGGGCCAGAAGGATGCTTACGTGGGTGATGAAGCCCAGTCGAAAAGGGGTATACTCACCCTGAAGTATCCTATAGAGCATGGCATAGTCAGCAACTGGGATGATATGGAAAAGATTTGGCATCACACATTTTACAATGAGCTTCGTGTTGCCCCTGAAGAACACCCTGTACTTCTTACTGAGGCTCCACTCAATCCCAAGGCCAACAGAGAGAAGATGACTCAAATTATGTTTGAGACTTTCAATGTTCCTGCAATGTACGTTGCAATTCAGGCTGTTTTGTCTCTGTATGCCAGTGGACGTACTACAGGTTTGTTTCTGCGGTTGATTTTGGTTTTAATATTAAATGATCATGTGAGTTCAATAGGATTAGGTCAACTTATCATGTGGCTAAATGCTGTAAGTTGGCTGTATTCTGATGTGAAGAATGAGGTAGTCCTGAAGGTTATATGAGGCACATAAGTTGGAAACTTTGGGAAGCTGGTTGAAGTTTCATATGAATTGGTTTTGTTTATACTTTTGGATTAGTTGATCTATATACTCCAGGGTGGGATACACATACATTTCCACCCTAATTCATCATGACTAGCATTGTTGTCTTCTTTTTTTTTTTTTTATTGGTATGTTGTAATTGAACTATTGGTTACATAAATAGGTATTGTGCTTGATTCTGGTGATGGTGTGAGCCACACGGTGCCCATATATGAAGGTTATGCCCTTCCTCATGCAATTCTTCGTTTGGACCTTGCTGGCCGTGATTTAACCGAGTACCTGGTCAAAATCCTCACTGAGAGAGGATACTCTTTCAGTACCTCTGCCGAGAAGGAAATTGTCCGTGATGTGAAGGAGAAATTGGCATATGTGGCCCTTGATTTTGAGCAAGAAATGGAGACTACTAAGAGTAGCTCTGCAGTGGAGAAGAGCTATGAGTTGCCTGATGGACAGGTCATTACAATAGGGTCTGAGAGATTCCGTTGCCCAGAAGTTCTCTTCCAGCCTTCTCTAATTGGTATGGAAGCTACTGGAATTCATGAAACTACATACAACTCCATCATGAAATGTGATGTTGATATCAGGAAGGACCTGTATGGAAACATTGTGCTTAGTGGTGGGTCTACTATGTTTCCTGGAATTGCTGACCGTATGAGCAAGGAAATTAGTGCTCTTGCTCCAAGCAGCATGAAAATCAAGGTGGTTGCACCTCCTGAGAGGAAGTACAGTGTCTGGATAGGTGGTTCTATCTTGGCATCACTTAGCACCTTTCAACAGGTTTGTACTGATGCTTTTTTCTCAACTGTTCCGTTTTTTATCCTTAAGTGTCACATTCAATGGAATGGATTGGTTTATGGAATTCGTTGGGTGCTTTCTTTGTCTCTTCTATGCAGATGTGGATCTCTAAGGGTGAATATGACGAATCAGGGCCAGCTATTGTTCACCGAAAGTGCTTCTAAGTTGGGTCAAGTTGAGCTGGATGGTGATATAGTTCTTCATGCGCCCAGTCTTGTGCCATATTTCAGTCAAGTTTGGTTGACTTATTTGATGCTTTGGGTTTTTAATAGAGAAATATCTAGTTTAATGAATGGATTTGTAAGATGAGTATGTTATATGTTTCCCCGTTAGGTCCTTGGAAGCCAGACTATTTTATGCAATTGGCGGATGGTATTGGAACTTTGTAGGTTCTGTTTGGTTTGATTTTCCTTTTATTCGATTTTCATGCTGTGGCCATGAATTAGGTGCCTCGAGTTAGGAGGACGATTAGTTCCAGCATCTTTTCTCCCAGACAGGGATTTTTGAGTCAGTTTCTGTTTATATTTATTATATGTTTAATTGGTTTTTATGTTTGCAGTGCACTTTCAGCATGCTTTTATTGTTATATATGGTCAATCGTTTATACATTTAGTTAAGTCTATTTGTATGCGCCTATTGTCAGTGTCTGTGTGCATTCTCCTTGCCGATGTTCAAGAAATGAAGTTCTTTGGTTTTTTGTGTGGCCCGCAAGAATAAAAGTAAATGAACCAAAAAGAAACGGACTGTTCCTCGAGGATTTTGGCGTGCTTAAGCACAATCTATCATGCACGCCTAGACACACGGGTTTACCCATCTCAATTCTACTTACAAGAATTATGGGAACATTTTCTTATGATTTAAAAAATTATAGCTTATATTTTTACATTAACTTAAAATTATTTAAGAGTTTTTGGTCATTAAATTAATAGTTACTTGATGAATAAAAATTACGAAAGGTTATAGCTTTTAAATGTTAACTTTTGAAAAGTTAGGTTAAGAAGAATTTAGTTTACTTGAAATTATATTTTTATTTTTAATCTTATATTCTGTTGGTAATTATTGATTTTTTATTCAAAAATTATTAAAATAGTGCATTACTTGAGTTGAATTTGAAATCATTTATTAATATGTGAACTTGTTATTTAAGTATTTCTCATATGATCTTATGATGTTGAATAAACATTTTGTTTATTAGTCGTATTTATTAGTCTTATATTAGAATATATCAGACAAGTTTCTTCAATTTAAGTATTTTTTGTGGAATTAAAAATTAAATTACGTATTTATATAATAAATTTTATTAAATGTGATTTGCATGTATTAAGGTATTTTTTAACTGGCAGAGTATGTTTTTTCAGAAAAAATTACATGAATATAATATTTATAAAAATTCTTAATGATGTTTCCTAAAGTCAAATGATATATTTTATACAATATATGGTTTAGAGAACTTATAAATTGACTTAGTCCAATATATTGAAGTTAAACTCTAAAAATAATAAATAGAATAATTTATAAGTGCTTAATCTTAATTTTGATAGTTTCATACAATATCAAACAATTCCAATAAGTAATAATAATGATCTTTTACAAATATTTTGGATACATTTACAATGTCATCTCTCAACTTTTATCATTGAGTTGTACGTATTTTTAAAAAAATTTAAATTGATAATTGATCAAGAAACTAATGTTGAATAAGAATAAGTTGAATTAGACATATTTTCAAATAAAGAAATATAATAAGAATAAAAATACAAAAGCTATTAGAATAGTGAAGATGATGATGTTGATGATAATGTAGATGATGAGAACCTAATTTATCAAACAAAATGGTTAAACAACATCTGTTTAGGCAAACATTATTTATGCATGCATATAAGTTTTCAAAATATGTAAACTTGTATATGTCAAGTTTATAATTATATTATTGGTCAATTTAATTTTAGTTATTTTAATTATTTAAATTTATGTATGTGTTTAATAGATCATTGTTATTTAGATGAGAATTGTAAGATAGAATGCAATTCAATAATAAAGGAACTGTTATATGAATAAATAAGTATTACATTGTATTAAAAGAAGTGAATTACAAAATGTTAAAGTCAAAATCAAATACATTTTCTCGTAAATGCATTAGCTATGACAGAGATTATTGATGACTTGTTTGAACTAGTTTTTTTTAAAAAAAAAGTATTTTTAGAAAATTAAAAGTATAATGACCTAAATAATTGTATAAGAGAAAGAATTTCACATGATTATATAAAGTTGAATATAGATATAGTTACAAAATATATCAAGTCAATGATAGAATCAGACCAATCTTTTAAGATAGAACTTGTGATTGGTGAGATTCAATCTCCATATGGATACATAACAATGTGTTGAAAAACATGGATGACAAAGCAAAAGGCAATTGAAAAAGTATTCAACTTCATTTGTTGCACCCTTAAGTCCTACAAGTTCAGGTTGTGTCACATGGCCAGATGTAAATGTAACCATGTTATCCTATTGCGTCATCTCCCACAACATGATTAGCATGAACCATTGATCACTCAGTGAGAATATTAGCTGAAAAGTAGCCCTATACTCTAGTGTGACAAGTTGTTGTTAGTACACATCTTCCTAATGCATGATTACTTCTTCCATAGTTGTCTCCTTGTTTAGGTCAATATCATGTTGGGAAATTTTTTGGAAAGATTAAGCGTTACTAATGACAAAGTCAATAATCCATAAAATATCCCACTACCATTACTGTAGTCAATATACCTATTTTGTGATTTCTTACTTCTTGAATCGTAACAAATATCTCTTCAATCTAAAGTCATTCATGCTTGTTCATGTTGTGGGTGTTATTCATCTTATTGAAATGGCTATCACTGGTTCCTTTGCGGTGACCAATGTAACTCCTCATTTGGTTGTATTGAAGGTGGTGAAATCCCCTAGTGTTAGGTGAGTGGTGTCTCCATGGAAAACTCTCGATGCTAGAATAGTGGTGGTTTTACTCTTGTTGAGGAGGGAGTAACTCTACAGAAAACTATTGTTATTAGAGTATTGACTGCTCTATTTATGGGAACAATCATAATCAATTCATTGCTTAAAATATGTATCATGCCCAATATTCATTGAAAGGATAATAGTTGTTAATTGATATTTTTTCTAAAATATACTAGTAGTCTAACATTGTTACTCAATCCTTATTTATCAATCTCTAATTTTTTTAGTTATCTTAATTCTTATAAGTCATTGTTATAGGATCCCTCAATATTTTGGGGGCAGGAGAGCAATAGGCTCAACAAATCCAAATTGACATATTACATTATCAGCTGCATGCTACTCTAATATCTTAAAAGCATATCAAAGGGCTAACAATTGATCACACTAGTTATTTTTCTCTCACAATCAAATGTGTTTCAACAAATTTAACTAATTTAAGGATATATTAACGCTTATCTCATGAATTTTCATGTGATAATTTTAAGACCTTTAAATAGAGTGTTTGGTGAAAATTGCAAGTGTCTTCATTTGAGAGTAACTAAAAATATTATCGACTCACTAAATATTGGAACTAATCACAAGAGCCAGTACTATGCACAAACCTATAACAATATCATACTACAAATTTCTTTATCATCATGTTGTGAAACACAATCCAATTTTATTCACATTTGTCAACAACTACAAGAATTTTTCATTTATTACTGATTTACTTTTATTCAACATTAGAAGATTTCTAAAAAAAAAGGTACATATCCATGAGTTTGATGTGCTATCCTAATATCTAAATTAGTAAAAAATCATCCAAAATGTTATGTGAGCCACTTTAATATTTTTCTAGTCCTTCAACATAGTTTAATCCAGGTTCACTTAATATTACTAAAAAATAAAATAATTTAATCACTAAATTATGAAATAAATATACTAGAAGAAATACAATTAAATTTTATTTATTAAGTAAAAAAAATTAATGCAAATACTAATAAATATTTTTAAAGTACTAATTAAAAATTATTATTTTTAGTTTCTATATTATAAAAATACTTAATAATCAATTACAATACACATTAATAATCAATTTATTTTATTAATACTTCGTTATATCTACTATATATAAATTTTTATATAAAATAGCACAATTAACCCATATCAAATTTCTAACTAATTATATGAAAATAACTACATTTAGGTTATATTTATTAAATATTAAAAAATAAAAAAAATAAATATTTAACCAATACTAAATAAAAATTAAATTAAATAAAATATTTTTTATTTTCTATATTATAAAAATATTTAATAACTAATTATAATAACATTAATAATAAATTTTTTAACGTTATTACATCATTCTAATTACTAAATATCAAATTTTATATGAAATAGCATAATTAAATTTTAAGTTCTATTTGATTTTTCCCCTTCTTTGTCTCAATAGTTTCATCAAGCTCTAATTCGTAGGCACAAAAATCAGCATTTAAAATTTTTGGAGGCATAGAAAAACTTGCCTGGAAGATGGGACATTGACTAGAGATTCCCTGCTGCGGCTAAAACTTACCACTAGTAATTTTTCGGAGTCCAAGGCAACAAAACTACACGTTCAGTGCTGCAGGGATTCATGTAAGTGAAACTCTATTCTATGTCTGATCAAGCAGTTCCATGTTTGAGCAAGCAAAAAAATGCCACTGATATTTTTTTTCAAACATTGTATGTGCCTAATTTCACCCAGAAAAGTCATATATTTGTACTTCTTTAACTTAAAATCATATTTAAATTAATAATCTATTTAGTGTCTTACTAACGTAGATTATATTTTTCTAATATAATTAAAAATTAGATTTTGATCTAATTAACATGCATAAAAGACTTAATTAGATATATGTCCAGTATTGTATTATTATTTTTAAATACTTAAACTTAATCTTAAAAATTAAATTTAATAAAATTATTATTATTATTATTTTATCCATGGATGTGGGGGTGAGTCAGACGAGCAAGGAAGTCCTAAACACTTATCCTCATCCTGATAATGAGTGGGAAGAATGAAAATAAAATGAATTCAAGTTTTACTTTCTTTTTTTAGTATTACTTCACTAAAAAGAAACAAATCTCTTCATTTCGTCTTTTTAAAGAATGAATAGAAAAATAAATAAACATAAAATTATTTTATTTCCTTTTGCCTAATAAAGCTAATTTATAAACAACAATAAAGTGAAATAGATTGCGAGTTTACGACAATGTATTGATGGTTTTTCCTTCGTTATCCTTTTCATCTCAAGACTCTCAGAGAGAAAAAAATGTAGAACTTACAAAAACTATGCCAATATTAATATTGGTTATAGATATAAAAGTAACAAATATTTATTAAAAAAATAATTATATTAAAATATTTTTTAAAGTATTAAAATATTTAATAAAACATATTAAATATTCATCAATTAAGCTCCCAAAAATTGTTTATATCAAAGATCATCACCTAACGCTACGAGAATAATTGGTCAATCACAGCTTGGTACCCTCGTGTCATTCCTATCATCTCGTTGACAAAAACTTCTTTATTCGTAAATTTTCTCTTTCTCTGCGGATTATTAGGAAACGCACAAGCATATAACTATTCTTTATTCTCATCTTCTGCACATGTAGCACCTAGTACACTTTTTAATCCCGAAATATTGGAATAAGTCCCATGCTCTTGTCTTTTTTATCCCCTTGAATTTGCATATATTGCTAGTAATCCCAGAAGAAGAACAAGTCAGAATTCACACTTTTATCAATAAGAACTTTGTGTGAGTATGTGAGAGAGAGAGAGAGAGAGAGAGAGAGAAAGGAAGGAAGGAAGGAAGAAAAATGGATCACCAAGCTGAAACTCAGAGAACTGATCTGATGACAATCACACGCTTTGTTCTGAATGAACAGTCAAAGTATCCTGAATCACGTGGCGATTTCACTATTCTTCTCAACCACATTGTTCTTGGCTGCAAATTTGTTTGTTCTGCTGTTAGCAAGGTACCCTTTTGATCATACCCATCAAATTATTATTCTCTTAAGTGGGAAAAACCATGCAATGCAATGCTCTCATGTTTTCACTTTTTTATTTTATTTTTTACTTTTTATTTGGCATTATTTTTCCATTTGTTGAATATTTTGATAACCATTTTTTGTTGGCAGGCGGGACTGGCAAAACTCATAGGACTTGCGGGAGACACCAATGTTCAAGTCAGTTCTCTGCTTTCTATTTTGGAAACTAAACATGAAAAGTACCATTTGGATTGATTATTCATAAAAGTGTCACCTTATGAGACACCGAGTTTTTTCCTGTTAGTGTAAACTCAATTTAAATATTTTTCTTTTGTTTAAGAACGTCACATAGTCATGTTATGATATGGGATCTGAAATAAAATGATTATTAATTATTATTATTATTATTATTATTATTAGTTATGATGTTTTTTCATTCGGAATAAGTACCTTTTGGTTTTGTAGGGTGAGGAGCAAAAGAAATTGGATGTTCTTTCAAATGAAGTATTTGTGAAAGCCTTGATCAGCAGTGGACGCACAGTAAGTGTGCACTGTCCGTTATCTGTTATTTCTTTGTTCTCAAATCAGCACAATAAATTGGATTTTCTCAAAGCTGATTTAATGGCACCCCTCAATGCTTTAGTTCTTTGGATTTCAGGAAATCCACTTGAGTGAATGGAACAATTTTCCAATTTTAGTTGTTTTTCTTTGTTTTCCTTTTCTTGATATGAATTTGAGTTTGATTCATATATGCATCCTTTTTAGCATCTTTTCTTTCCTGATTCCTGTAAAATGCATTATGTTGCCTTGTCAGTGCCTTCTTGTTTCCGAAGAGATTGAAGAGGCTATATTTGTGCCATCAACACATCGTGGCAAGTCAGTTCGAAGCTCTAGATCAAACTAACACTATTAATGGTATCGTTAAAATGCATTATCTTATCAAAGTAACGAATTCCTTTTGATTTTGCAGATACATTGTTGTGTTTGATCCTTTGGATGGATCCTCAAACATTGACTGTGGTGTTTCAATAGGAACTGTATGAATTTTTTATTTTCTTACTTAATTGTAGTATTTGAAAACTACAGAACAGAAAATTATAATAAGAACCAGAGTTTTCCCTGTTGCATATAGATCTTTGGTATTTACATGGTGAAGGATGAAGCTAAAGTTAGTCTTGAAGATGCATTGCAACCTGGGAGCGGAATGTTAGCAGCTGGTTACTGCATGTATGGAAGCTCTTGCACGGTAAAACAAACACCAATCTATGAAACATGACTTATATAACTACTTAATAAATATTTCCTTTTCAGAACAATTTTCTAAGTTGTCCTCTTTGTTTTTTTGAAAATGGAAGTGGTCTATTTTAATGGTCATGAATATCTGATGCTGATCTCTGGAATTGCAGTTTGTGCTTAGCACAGGAAATGGAGTGAATGGTTTTACACTTGATCCTTCCCTTGGGGAGTTCATATTAACTCACACAAACATCAAGGTACCTACTTATGTGGCAGTCAAAATGGTATATCAAGTTAGTTGAATTTTACACTGGAAATTTTAAATATTCTTTGCTCTAATGATGCATAGTAGCATCAAGATTTGTGTGTGTGTCTTCAATTTTAGTCCCTCCCCTCGTTTGTTATTTAATATAATCCTACACCATGCTGGTACCTGAGTCCTTTATACTTGCTCCGGAGATATTGCACAATAACTTTTTTATGTGTCAGTGTCAAAGTTAGAACATGAACTATTAAAGCAAACTTTAAACTTTGTTTAATTATTATGTGTTACTTGCATAGATACCAAGGAAAGGAAAGATTTATTCCGTGAATGAGGGAAATGCCAAAAATTGGGATGAACCAACCGCTAAGTAAGTTTTGGGAATTTAATTGTTAAAAGATGAATCCTTTCATAAATGACATGACACCTTTTCCAGATATGTAGAAAAGTGCAAGTTTCCTCAAGATGGTTTACCACCAAAGTCTCTTAGATACATTGGAAGGTATTTGATTCTGAACGGGGTGTACTTCTTGGCTTTCTTCAAATGTCTTCATTTTAATGCTAACATGGATGAGTAATACAGTATGGTTGCCGATATCCATAGAACATTGCTTTATGGGGGTATCTTCATGTACCCTGCTGATGTGAAAAGCCCAAATGGCAAGCTAAGGTATGATGATGTACTTTGTGTTTACTTCCAAGTTCTAGCCATATGAATTAGCATCTATGAGTGCAAACTCTCTTTCACAACATTGCAAATGCAGTTGTCCACATATAGACTAGTTTTCTGACACTTTCCAACCCCTCTTTCTTTGGGTGGATGCGTGTTACATTCATACATGACTTAGTAATATAATTTCACTGTGAAATCAGGCTTCTCTACGAAGTCTTTCCAATGTCATATTTGATGGAGCAAGCAGGAGGACAAGCTTTCACAGGAAAACAAAGGGTATGACTTTGTTTTTCTTTGCTCTTAATAGTTTATTTTTGCAAACATTTGAGCTGAAATGCAATATATATAGTAGTACTCTAATGACAGTTTCTAGCAAATAGTAAAAACGAAATAACATAGAAATGGTTGCATTGCATTGCATGGATTCTTGCTTCTTGAATTCAACACGTGGACAAAGTATAAATGAATATGAATCAGATTTGATATTACATTTTCCATTTAATATTTGAAGAGGTCGGTTTCAGTTTAAGCAACTACAATAATTTCTTACTTGTGAGTTTTTGAAACTTCATGCAAATGCATATTCTTGTTTCTAATAGATTGGCAAATTGCAGGCACTTGATTTGGTTCCAAAAAAAATACATGAACGGTCACCTATATTCCTTGGCAGCTACGATGAAATCGAGCAAATTAAAGAGCTATATGCCGCATCCAAAGCATTTGGTGCATGACTATTGTGTTTGAATCTCAATTTGTGTTTCATTATATCAATTATTGGGCACTTGACAGTTCATTGGGTAGGACAACATTTTGTTTCAGTAGAACATGGTGTCTGTTTGAATTAAGTTATGCATAGAAAAAAGAAAAGGGGGAAGAGGATCTTTGTCCTTGATTTAAAACCTCACAATGTTGCAATTGAAGGTTGAAGATAAAAACGATCGTGTTGTGTCACTAGAATTCACGAGGTTGAAAATCATTCTTTGTGCAAAAGTTTGCTAAATTGTTGCATGACATAACAATGCTTTAAGAGTCTCTCGTCATATTCTTGTAAGAATCCCATTTTAGTTATCCATTTTCCCTCTAAAGTTTTAGTATAGTTAAATTCCTAGTTAATACTTGATTTTTTTTTTTATAAATGAAAAAATGATGTTTATTAATTATCATCAGCTGGGTTTAGTAAAAAGAAAATTAAACTGATAAATTTAGTGAAGTAAATGTTAATCAGGCAAGTTAAAATTTTAAAAGTTTCTTAAAATGTTGTTAGTACATTTTTACTGCCATTATTAATATATTTTAAATAATTTTTTAATAAAAAATAATTCTTAAATTGTAGATATGACAATTAACGAGGTAAGTTCTGTCCTCCCGTCATCATCCGTTATAGTTAACACAAGAACTGGATGACTTAATTTAATTTAATTTTTGCTTAAGTGAATAAAATGCATATTTTAATAATATAAAAAAGTGGACATTGATAATCTTAAGAATGGAAGAAATTATAATTGGTTTTGTTATCCTCGGAAAATGGGTTTTTCTTTCTTAAGCTTTGGTAATTTTAAGAGGGATTTCAAGGATGTTACGCATTAAATCTATTATATATACATCGGTTTGCAAATCACAAGGAGTTTAACTGGTATGAAATTTACCCTTGTTCAAAATGAAAACCAGTTGATCAATGTCTTGCTTCAGTTTGCGTGCGCATTTACCATCATTAAACAAAGCGCAAATGGAATATAATGACTAAACCCTTTTATTTTATTTTTAACATAATAAGTGTTTGACATTTTTATTTTTAAAATTTTAAAAATATCATGTCAAAATTTGTTTATTTTTTCTTTTTAAATATACTTTTTTAAAAGAATAAAAAATAAAAAAATTACTTGTTAATGTACGTTTTAAAAATAATTTTTTATTTTCAATTTTTAAAACTGAAAAAATGATTACTAGAGTTTATTTGATTTAGTTTTGATTTTTAATTTTTAAAAATTATATTTTAAAACAATTTTATAAAACTGTTTTTAGAAAAATAAAATAAAATAAATTTGGTTTGATAATTTAGTTTTTAAAATTATTTTTAGTTAGACTTTTGTTAGTTTTAGAAAAAATAACAGAAAAATAAAAATAAAAATACCTAAATAGCAATTCTGTTTTTGAGTTTAACTGAAAAATAAAAATTAATTTTTAAAAATAATTTTTAAAACTTACATTAACAAGCAAGTTTTTTATTTTTTTTATTTTAAAAATTAAAAATCCTATTTAAAAAGAAAAAAATAGACAAGCTCTAGGTAGGTGCATTTGTTTTTATTTTTTTATTTCTCTTTCTAAAATTAATAAAAATTTAACTAAAAATAATTTTAAAAACTAAATTATTAAATAATTTTTATTTTTATTTTTTTCTTGAAATTAGTTTTATTAAATTATTTTAAAATATAAATTTTAAAAATTAAAAATAAATCAAACAAGTTCTTAGTTTGTAACTTATATTTTTGTCAAGCATTTTAGTTCTTAAATTTATAGACAGTAATAAAATGTTAAAGTAACATTTATAATTGATTATGTAACAAAAATAATGTCGTATATAATATAATATATATATATTTTTTATTTTAGTTCTTAAAATTGTCCTTTATCTAACATTTTAGTTTTTGAAATCGTTAGATGTCAAGTATTTTAGTCCTTAATTATAAATTTTTTTATTTATCTATCCTTCTTCTTTTTTATTATCTTTTAACAAAAATTATCATATTCAAGTACTATCTATTTGACGACAAAGTTACTGTCATCGTATATTTTAATAGAAGATAACAAACTCACTACAATTACTAACATAAAGGGCCAAAGAACAACCCCAATGAAGCTTTTGATTTTTTATAAGGATAACATAAATAAACCCCTTGAACAATGGCTGTGAATTTTACAACCTAAATTGCATTTTAACATTGAAGCTCAATAATATCAACCTTTACTTTCTCCAATACCATGATTTCTTTCACTTCTTTCACTTTTCTTACCCAAATTTTCATCTCTCAAAATTTTTTCAACTCAAGATCTACGCCTCTAACTACCTAGCTAAGGATCGCCACTAGCACAATACAATTTATAACTTTTTGTTCTTCAACTGTTGTAACTAAAATGAGTTATATTGACATTTTTTAAGTTAAAGAGTGTGTAAGAAATTTGAAGAAATCAAACACAATGAAAAATTTTGATCTCAACATTGACGAATGTTGAACTTAAATGTTTAAGGTAAGAGGATATGGTTAGATGGAGAGAAGATGATGGTAACTTTGTTGCTAGCAACAAATGTAGACAATGGTTGATGATAATAGTTTACAGTAAGGGAGAAAGAAAAAAAAATGATGGGTACATAAAAGGTTTTAAAAATCAAGAACTAAAATGCTTGATATGCAACAATTTTAAAGACTAAAATGAAATCAAAACATATATCATATCATATATGATGTAATTTTTTTTATGTAATCAATTATATATATATCACTTAATTTAATATGTTAGCATTCTTTTAATGTTAATCGACACTTTATAAGAATAGAGACTAAAATGTCTTAGATTAATGTGTTATTTTTAAATTTGAGTAATTAAAATGTCCAATACTTATTATTTAAGAGACAAAAAGATGGTTTAGTAAAAAAAAAAAACAATAAATTATTATTTTCTTAAAAAAAGAATAATAAATTATAGAGCACTATAAATTAAAAAAACATATTTACTTGTTAGAAATAATGAACACAAATCATATAATATGTTTTTATACTTACAAAGTGACATTATTTTTTTAAATTTTATTTATTTCTTCCTTTTACATTTTATTTTTTAAAAAAATTATACATAATTTATTACATAACCTCTAACTCACACCCTTAAAAGAATATGAGAATATCAATATTAATTTTCATTTATGTGAGGACTATTTTAATATTTTTATAAAGTAATTTATATTTGATTATTAAATTTTAGAATAAAATAGTATTTAAGATTTATTCTTTAGAAAATTAATAAATATAAAAGTTAAAACAAAAATTTAAATTAAAAAATTATAAAAAATATGTTGTTATTTTAAATTAGATCAAATAAAATTTTATGGAAATTAAAAAATTATAATAAATTATAGGCTTATAATGCAAAGAGAATGGCACTAATGTATCTATACTTCTAAAATAAAAAGAAGGATATCGTATTAAAAAGTACAAAAATTTGAAATAAACAAAAAAAGCACTAATCGTTATCGAAAATAAAAAATAATAATCAAAAGAAAGCAAGTCCTAAAATATAAAATTATATGAAAACACATAAAAAAATTCAAAACTAAAATAGTTAAAATTAATTAATATGGTGTTGAAAGAATACAGTAATTTGCAATAAAAAGTGTGCACTGAAATAAAAATAACAATATAAAATAATGTGAAAATGTTAAAATAATATATTAAAAATGAATAAAAAAATATCATGTGACCAATCGTATGAAGTTGAAAATATTAATTAAAATTAAAAAATATTTAGAATAAAATAAAATTTACAAATAAAAAAATGATTCACGTTGTTTAAATTGGTTAAAGTTAAACAAATATAGAATAAATGAAAATGAGACATCTATATAACCTCGTTAACTGATAGTTATTATTTTTTTATCAAATCCATAATTTAGATATTAATAACTTTTACGTCGAAGATATTCATTATTCGATGTAAATATTCATGTTATTATTTAAATATTTTACATTTCATGTAAAACTTTTATTCTTATTTTAAAATTTATATATTTTAAATAAATGATAAAATAAATTTTTAAAAATTAAATAATAGTAATGTATCATGTAATATATAAATTAATTTTTATCTAAATATTAAAATGGTATGTATAATAAGAAAGGTGCAAAACCTACATGAATAGTAGCAAAGATTTATTTTTCTGTACTTAAACGTGCATAAAAATGAATTTTAGAAGTTTGTTTTGATTCTTAAGATCTTAATTTTTTAACCTTGCAGATCATAATTTGAATATTATTTCAATTTGTTACCTTCGATTTTAAAAAGATTATGCAATTTGAAATTTTTTTGATATTTTTATATGATTGCATTGCTGCTTTCATTTTTTTTTTAAATAGTAGTTTTTGGCCAAATTAATTCAAAGTATTTTAACAGACTCATCTCTAAATTAGAAACTCAACGAATCAAGAAATTCCAAATTATGACACTGAGATACATGAGAAAAAGAGCTTGTGGACCTACCTCAACCACAAAGATAAGAGAAGAGTCCATTTGATTGTTTAGAAAGTTTCAAATTAACTGTTTAGTTGCATGTTTTGATGAAATGTTGAAGTGAACCTTATTTATACGTGTGCATATTTATAAAAATCCTTTTCATGAATGTTGTCTTGGACCAGCCTTAAAGATAGTGTGTGTGCATTAAGGTTATCAACGGCGGATGTGAGTTATGGCGAAAACCCAAAAAATTATCATAAAATTATGGTAGTCGTCATGGTAGATTTAATAAAATATATAAAAAAATTTATAGATCACATGAAATGATAAAAAAAAATAACTCAAAACATAAATACAATAATCAATAATTTAAAACAATTTAATACAAAACAAACAATTATCAAATGTTAAATTAATAATAAAAATATAAAAATTATTAATTCAATTCTCTTTTTTAACTCCAATGTAGTCATTTTTTTCTCATCCATCGAGACATATTCTTTCTCCTCTTCTCTCTTAAATTCTTGAAGATTAATTTTCAAATCATCTTCTAATTCTTCATCATCGTTATCTTTAATCACCATTTTCTATTTCTATTTTGTTGTTGAACATGTTTAGGGTTTATCATGAACATTATCATCTATCTTTCCAACCAACTACTCATTAATGTTATTGAATGTAATTAGATTAATTACATCTTTAAGATTATAATGTTATTCTTATTGTTAGTTATATTTCACATAAACTACGTCATGTAATTTTTTGTAATCAAGTTTATTCTTCTTTTTTGAATAAAAATGCAGCGTAAATGTAATTAAAAATTACTGATAAATTACTTGCTTAAAAATATTCAATTTGCATTTACATCTAAACGCACTACATGTCAAGTTCAAAATTTGATAACCAGTTGCTACAAATGTGGATATGAATGTCCATACATTCTCCACCATTGAGTTATAAAATCAAAGATAAATTATAAAATTAAAGGTTTTAACCATAAATTAACTTGAAATTAAAATATTAATTTTTTTTATTAATTATCTAGAGCAATATGTTTTTCTTTGTGTTTTTGTAAAGTTAGATCCAAAGAGACTACTGTCACTCTCGTAAATTGGTAGCTTGAATAGTATGCTTTATTGCACATCTTGTCTTAGCACTAACCTCTTGATAAAATTATACAACTAATTCGTAACCTCCAAACCAAATTCTATTTGAGGGTTGTCAAAAAGAAAATTAAGGTTTAGAATGTGACCAGCTACATGCAATGGACGATGAAGTTGACAACTTCATCTATTATCAATGATTGCAAACAAATCTTTGTATTTGTTTTCATTATTGTTGAATGACTTCATAATAGCTTCTTTAACTTTCTCTATTACTTCATAAATATATTTTATGGTTCATCTTCTTTCACCATCAATCGAACATAACGCCCTACAAGAGGAGCCATGATTTCCAAGTGTAAACTATGTTATTACAAAATACATAATTTAATACAACTTTTGTTACTTGCTTCCCTTTAGGTTCTTTTGACAACTTATTTTTGCACAAGTCCTTAGAAATAAACATCTTTCTAAAATTTGCTTTTTGTTAATGAAACATTTCTAATGATAGAAAGGAAGTTGCAAATCTAATAATAACATGTCTTATTAATTCCCTCTTGTTTATAAAATTTTTCAACAAACTCAAGGCACTAAGACAATTGTAGATAAAGCTAACAATATATATTTCCTTTTGATCTATCTTCTTTATCAAGGGAAGTTTTTTAATATCTTCAACCATAAGGTTTATATAATGAACTACACAAGAAGTCCAATAAAAATGTGGTCTTTCTTCTTCCAACATCTTACTTGTGAAGACATAATGACTTCCATTATCCATTACAACTTGCACAACTTTATCCTCTCAATCTCCTCCACAAGAGCATTGAGCACCTCAAATAACTTTTTACCAATCTTCATAAAATTAAATCCATCAATGAACCTCACAAACATAGTCCCAACATAAGAGTTGACCAAGAAATTAATTTGATCAGTCCATACATCTGACATGATAGAACAACCATGTTCGCTCTATTACTCATTGTGATCTTTCATGAGAGAGTCGATATATTTTAACTCTTTCTTAAGAAGTGAAATTCAAATATCATGATAACTTGAAGCTGAAATTTTTTTACCAAAGGCACCAATAATTGTAAACATTTCTTGAAAGCTCTTCATTTTAACAAGGTTAAAGGAAATGTTAGGTGTTGATACCAAAATTGAGCAATATATTGATGAATCTTTTCCTTGTCTGCCTTGTCACATACTTCTCGTATAACCTTGTCATATGTGGATCTATGATCTAGTCTCACATTGGTGTTCTTACCAAGGGTTGGTAACTCTAGGATTGAGAGTCAACTTAGACTAAGTCGACTTTAGAGTACATTTCTTTGGGTGACTTCCTCTAGTTGTTATATTTTGAGTCTGAATTGCCCTAGGAGTCATTCTTATGCATTTTAGATTATTTTATTTTGAGTTGTTTTGGAGTATGGTTGGTTTACCTCATTATAGATGTACATCTTTTTACCATGCGGTTTGTTACTCTTTTTATGACATTGTCATGCTTGACTTTTATGAAGGATATTTATGGTTTGAATGGACTAATTCCTTCCATTCAATTATACATTTTGAAAAAAACTATAAATTTATCTTACATATATATCCAAGTCCTGTGATGCATATATGATTATACCTCTACTATAAAATAAGCCAGAGAGCTAATGTTAGTGACTTCATATTAGTTTAGGATGTCAACTACATATTATAATATGGTTGAGTATATTAAAGAAAATGCTATACATAATTGAATATGTATGTCATGTGTGAATGAAAGTATAATTGTATATGTATACATGTATGAGTCAGATGAGTGTATGGTCACATAGTTATTTTTTCATATATGTCTCGTTTAGTTCAAATATGAACAACAATAATAATAAATGTTTATCAAAATACAAATTAATAATAATTTTTTAAAAAAAAAGTAATTATAAAAAATCACAATGCATTTATAAATTGCATTCTATAAAAAAATGTTAATTTAACACTTACAAATTATATTTACAAATAAATAAAAATATAACTTTTAAGCAATATATATGTTTTGGAAAATATTCTTCTTATGGGTCTTGCTTCAGTTTGCGTGCGTATTTACCATGATTGAACATCTTGGAAAGAAAATGCAAATGGAAAATAATAATAAATGATTATTTTGCAAGAGGAGAATGATAAATGATTTATTTACGGATCAAGCATTATAGATAGTGAAAAAATTACCGACTTGCCAGAAATAATGGACTCAAACCACAGAACCTGTTTCTATACATATAAAAGTGACATGCTATTTTTTTTTTAACCTATTTTTATATCTCTTCCTTTTTACATTTCACTTTTATATATTTTAAAAAAAAATTATACATCATTTATTACACACGTCTAAGTCACACCCCTTCAAAGAATATGAGAATATCAATATTAATTTTCATTTATGTGAAGATTGGTTGATTGACTCGAGCACACAGGCTGTGATTGCCAATCACACAGCTGTTAGGTTCTAACTTCAAAATTTCATTCAAACTTCTAAATTAATGGCAATCGCTAAATATAGGGTACGAATTAAACTAATGGCAAGCATTGATCTTCTAAAAATTTTCCAGGCCACACAAACTCATCGACTACCCAAAATAAACTAAAATGTGGCTTATAAAACTCACGTAAAACACCCCATTGTTGGTATCTCTTGCTTTCTCTCATTACCTCAGGGAGGACAATCAAGAAGAAAACTTGGTTCGTTCTCCCACTCATTGAAACATGGGCAACTGTGCTAGCAACCCCAAAACCAACGAAGATGAGGTTCCAGTGCCTGAGCCTATGCCCGTCACTGAGGAGGTGAAGGTTGAACAGCAAGAGAACAAGGCTGAGGATTTTCCCGAGGCCAAGATTGAAGACTCTCCCCTCCCAGTCTCCTCCGATGACAACTCTCTAGCCACCTTGCTTAACGAGGTATACATTTTATGCTTTTATCTTTTAGGGTTAATTTAAGTATATAAAGATAATCATTTTTTCGTATAAATATAATTATTTATTATATATATTTATATGTATTTTTAAGGTGATAAAAGACAAAATTTAGATTTTTATAATTTGACAATGTGTGTTAACTCTTAATGTTAATTTTTATTATATAAGTTTTTAAGGTGTATCTTTAATCAATCTTAATTGAATTATAATGTCACATTACACCTTAGTTTAGTGTGCTGATGAATATTTTTATTTATTATTATAAAATATTTGAAAACATTGGTGTGATGAGATCCTCATAGAGTTTGCATAAAATGCATTGACAGAATGGTGAAAAGAAAGAAGAGCAGGGTGAGGTGAAGGAGGAATCCAAGACTGAGGAGGTGAAGGCCGAAGGCGTGAAAGAAGAGAAAGTCGTCACAGAGGAGGCAAAGCCTGAAACCAAGGAAGAGAAACCAACAGCTTAAGGATGTTAGTTTAAACTAAAAGGGGCTGTGATACTTCTCAAATATTCAATTGTTTCTTTTCCATTTTGAGCTTAAGGATGATTCATTGAATGATTATTTTTTATTCGTTCGGTTTTTCTTTCTTCAATTAATTTAAGAATTGCCAAAGTTAATAACAACAACACAGATAAGGTAAGGTAATGAGAAACAGAAGTTTACGTTTATTACGGGCGCGGAATGGGAAACAAAAGAAAAGAGAGCGAGAAAGAAAAGTAACCAAAAGATTCAAAAACAAATTATAATTACTGTTTGTATGTAAAAATATGAATATGTATACTTTTTTTAAAAAAGAAAATAAGTGTTAATTTATAAGAGTATTTTATAAAATAAAAAAGATAAAGGTACTCTTTTAACCCAAAAAATGTATAATTAACACTAAACACAAAAGTGGGCAGATGTGATTAAGGTTTACTTGCATTTTTAATTTTTTTAAATTTAAATTATATTTAATTTTAGTATCTTCGAATTTTTAGAGCTAATTAATTTCTTCTATTTTTAAAATCTGGTTGGTGAATCTTTTAATCTGAAAAATTTCTTATTAAACAATTTATAAAATAAAGTTATCATTAAATTAATTTTCCTCACAATTAACCAATCACACTATAATTTTTTTTATGAAACATATATTATTTTTTATTTATTCTTAATAAATAAAGTTAATCAAAATTTAAATTAAAACTGATAAAGGTAAATAAAGTTAGATTCAATTGTATTAAATGAGATTATAATTATTATATTATAATTTTAAAATAAAAAAAAAGCTAAATTTAACTATTATTAATTTGTGAAATTTAGTTCAAGATAACCTGTAAAAGAACTAAAAACTTATTTTAATGTAATATATACTTCCATTTTGGAAGAAAATTATCATTTTCAATATTTAAAATTAATCCTAAAAAACTACTAAAATTTACATTTTTTTTTTTGTTTTCTCAACACTATTTTATCTAATGCTAGAAGTTAGAGCACTTAATTAACATGTTATATTCCACTACAAATATTTTTAATGATTTTTTCTATTATTTTATGAAATAATTATTAAATAAAAAGTCAGTATTTAATATTTCAAAAATATGAAAACTTTGATAATTTTTATTAATTAAAAAATTAGAAGTATTTAAAATTACTTATACTGAATTACTTCTACTATGTTTGTGTAATAAGAGTGGAAGAGTTTGCTATGTTCAATAAATCATAAAGGTATCATTATAAAAAAGAATATATCATATATTTAATAACTTTTTATTCAATAATTAAAAGAATTTATAAATATAAAAATTTAAACTTATTAACATTAAAAATCAGAAAAGGGAAATCTTTTTCAGAAGGGTTGAATTCCAAGGTTCTATAAATTCTTGGCAACAACCCACTAACTTGTAAGTGGTAGTAAGTACCCAATTGAAGAAACATTAACTATTAAATTTGAACTAGATAATGAAACAGAAAAGAGGGGGAAATGCGTTTTTTCTTTTTTCAACTGGAAATATGTTTATACAATTAAAATTAGCTTTGATATTAACTTATGGGTCATGCTATTGAAAATAATATTTTTCTTAACTTATTATTGTAGCAAAGCAAAACACGTCGGATCCACCCACACCCAGAGTTTGGCATCAATACATTTAACCGAAATAGTAGGTGGATATTACTTTGGGTACTGATACCTTGCTTATCACAATGCATTCATTGATGGATCACATAAATGTGGTAAGCAACATGTGTCAATTGTGTTATGATTAAAATAAGAATGATGTGTTGTAAACCTGCTCAAACTTTGGTTACTTATAATTCACATTTTACGGTTTACATGATCGACCAAGCTGTTTCAAAGAATCAAGAAACTCAAAATAAATGAAGATTTAAAACTGAAATGAAATATTAAAGAGATGAAATGGAGTTAAGTACAATGTTTTGATCACACTTACACCCTTTGACGTACGCCGCACTTTGTTTCATATTTTGCCTCAATGAAAACTGAAAAGCTAAGACGGAATCAAAAGTTGATGCGCACTTTCTGAATATGAGATGAAGGAGCAACCGTCCTTTGGGACTAATTAGTTCTAAGTTCCTATAATAAATCAACTAATGTTTTCTAGTGGCACTTGCAAACATATGCACATGCTTATATCAGCATCAACATCATTCCAATTAACTGGAAGCACGCCAGAATTTGCAAAAGATAGTTTCAAAACTTAGGTCCCCCTTTTGATCTTATTTGAGAAAATAAAACCCACCAACCACCCCCTTTCTGCAACTTTCCATGTCGATCTTCCCGTAGTAGTGTGTCTTCATGACTATTAACATCCAAAATGCCATTTGCTTAATTCTTTTATTCCACGGTAGATTAAGTTCAAAATGACAAACTCTCAAGTTTGTACCATGACTCAAAGTCACTGCCATAAATTAAAAAGAATAAAATAAAATCGACTTGGGTTAGGAACAACCGTGACCATTCTATTCTAGAACATGCACCTCACAAGTATTCAACTATCTTTTTAATGCAAATTATTGACATTATATTTTTTAATATGCAAAATGTTAAATGATGTTAAAAATTATATCCAACTGAAGAAATAGGTTATAGGTTATGTTGTTGATAGAAAGTTTATGACTTTATCTGTCTTAGACGTAGATGAAATCAATTTTATTAATTAAACAAGTTAAGATAAAAAAAATTGTGAAGTTAAAAATTTTAATCAATTAATTTTTTCTAAAACTTAATAATTTTTTTATAAAAATAAATAATAATAGTACTAATAACAATATTATTATTTTTATCATAAAATAACAATCTCAAGCGGTAGAATTTTGTCGAACTCAACTCTCTTTCTACCCCACAGATATGCTTTTGCATATTTGCTCAAAATATTAAAGGTTTGTTTATTTTAAAATTAAGTAAAATTAATTTGTGAATCTTTTTACTGATTTACATATGTAAATATACAAATAGAGAGAAAATAGACAAAATATATTAAAATTTTGAGAATGTTAATCATTATTGTTTTTACGATATCTCAATTAAAACATTTTTTAAATGTTAACATTTTTTATTATATCAATTTTAAAATATACTAAACATATCAATTAACAACATTAGAAATAAAATTATTATAAAATATGATATTTAATGTTATTTATAATTTTAAATAAATGCTAATTAATACTTTTTAAAATTTAAAATATTATTAATATCAATTTATAATAAATTTCACTGTTTTTTTAATTTAAATTAAAGTGCTTAAAAGTAAATATTTTTTAAGACGTAAATATTTTATATTATTAAATATTTAAACTTGATATAAAAGTTAAGATTAACAAAACTATAAATTTGAATATATTTTTAATATGATTTTTTATAATTTTTGTTTGAGTTCTTTGTGACATTAATTTACAAAATTAATATTTTTATAGTTGTCACTTTAGTAACGTTTTTTATTTTTAAATTTTTAATTAATATTCTTTGAATATGAACAAGTCGTAAGTAAGTAAGACGAGAACAAGACAAAATTGATAACTGAGTTTCATGCATATATGGTGGCAGCAGGGGAAGACGCTAGATATTGATCCACAAGGACCAATTTCGCACGTGTCAAGCAAGAACTGCAAGCTTGTGCTTTTTAAGACAGCATGACGTGGGAAGCAAGCATACAAACGCTGCCTCTTTGATCAATCTGCATTGCGCGTTAATTATAAATACCCCTTTCATCTCTTGCCTCTACCTTACAATTTCTCCAACACCCTTTATTTCTGTGTCACTCCTTTACCCTGTCTTAACTCTTAGGTGAAATTATATACTATACTATATATAACCCAGTTAGTTTCCACACTACAGTACTTCCTTTGTGACGCTACCGTACGTGGTGGTGGCGGTAGCGGTGGCGTCCATATTTTAATTGATTAGTATTATTAGACGGTGTCAGTGTGGACTGAGTAATTAACAATGAAGGATATGTGCAATGTAGTGCAGGGTTTGAAGCCTATGCTATTAATGATAGTGGTGCAAATAACATTTGCTGGAGTCAATGTGCTCTACAAGCTTGCCGTAAATGATGGCATGAGCTTGAGGGTTGTTGCTGCCTACCGCTTTCTATTCGCAACTGCTTTCATAGCTCCACTTGCCCTCATTGTTGAAAGGTTCATTCTTTATTTAATAATCAATCCTCTCTCCTTTTGTTTAAACCTTAATTAGTATCATTTATATGCATGTGTAACCTATGCGCCATTCCTTTTTTTTTCCTTATTCATCTTATATATACCATTATATTTATTTATTTTTGCAATTTTAATAATTTTTTCTTGAAATATAAGCTTTGAGAAGCAGAAAATGGAAAACGCATGTAATATGCAGTCCATAACAAATTCCAATACCTGATTGTTTCTTTCTTGTGTGAGAATAATACATGGCTGAAGAATTATATTTTTTTCCTTTGTGAAAATAATTCAGATATTCACTACTAAGTGGAGAATGATTTTGTTTTGTTTTGAAGTCTGTTTGGAAGCTTTTGATTGTCAATGGGAACTGCTATTTGAGTAGATGGAATTATTAATTAAACCCACTTTGAATAACTGCATTTAGATGTAGGTAGGATTATTTGAGAACGGTCCTTTGAAGAGTGTCTTTTCATTACTGGTAGAAAAAAGTGGAGAAACTATAACAATAGTAGTAGAAAAACGCCCCCACCTTAAGAAATCAGTAGTTAAACTCTAAAAGGACAAATACAAAACTAATGCTTCGTGTTGTTGATAATTGGCAGGAAGAAGAGGCCAAAGATGACTTGGACAGTACTGTTTCAGTCATTCTTGTGCGGTTTATTTGGGTATGTCATATATATATATATATTCCTTCTTTGTCATTTCACTGATGCACTTCTTTGTGTTGAGTTTGATTCAAATCAAATGAGATCTAATTTAGCTTTTTAATATGTAAAAACACAAATTTAAAATTTAAAATTTAAAAACTAATTATAGAAATTAGTAAATTTAATCAGAAGAATCTTTAACAAAATAATCATAACAGGTATGTCTGACTTATTTTAGAAAGACATTAAATTTTATTTGTATTTTTTTATTAGAATTTAATTTTTATTTCTAATTTTAATTAAGTTTTAAAATTAAAATTTAGTTTTCAATTTATATTGATTCAAGATTGAATTTAAAATTTATTTTTTATTTTAACAAAAATTGAATTCAAATTTTAATTAAAGTGAAAGAGAAACTAAATTTAAAACTTTATGCTCAAATTTAAATTAATATGAGAGAGAATTTAAAATTGAAATTTAAACTTAAAATTAATATTAAAAATTGGTTAAAATAAAAAGAAAAATAAAATTTTAATTTTAATATTAAGAGGCAATTTTTTATGTGCAAAGTAAAAGGAAAAAAAAAGCATGCATGTAAATCATTATTCTTAATACAATTGACTTTATTTATTTTAGTAATTAATTTTAAATATTATTATTTTGATAAATAATTTTTAAAATTAAATTATTATGGTTAAAAAAGGCCTGCTTATCGTGCCTGTAATTATGCAGGTGACTTATTCTTCACCATCAATTTGTGTATGTAGCAATGTTTACGCTATCTTTCTAGAGATCCATAATTAAACCATATTTGCTTCATTCTCCCATTAAGCAGCAACTTTTTAGGAACTTTTTTTTCTATAGCTCGAGAAACACAATTTACTGTATAATTCCATGACCTTCCTTTCTCTTAGTTGTTTGAAGTTATTATTATTTTTTTGTTTTTAATATAATAAAAAATTATTTTAAGAGAATTCATTTATAATTATTTAAAATAAATTTTAAAATTGATATCAATAAAACTGTTTATTATACAAAATACGGTAATATATATATTATATGTATTTTTATTTTGAGAGGAAGAGTGATATATAGCTCCTGAGATCAGTTCAGGTGTCGTTGTGCTCGTGTTGTAAAACTTGAAAGGATAATACTATTTTCATGATAAAGCTCCTCTTCATTATATATATATATATATATATATATATATATATATATATAATATGAAAGAAATATTTAATTGAATATTTTTAATTTTCAAAATAAGGAGTAATGACTAAAATAGTGTCAAATAAATATAATATTTTATCTTTCGTATATTTTTATACATTTTAATATTTTATAAATTTGTCACACAAGCATCATGCAACATGTAATATTCTTCTTTTAAGGTGAGATGTATTTTAATTTATTTATTTTTGTTAGAAAAAGGGGCTTAAAAGCCCAAAACAAAAGACAAACTAGGCATAGTGCCTAGGACAACCTGAGCACTAGAATTTAAATACAAGAAAGACAAAAGGAGATAAAAGGATCCATAATCTGAGAACAAGAAGTTAGGGAATTTAACCCTAATTTAGTTAAAAAATCTGCACATTAATTAGCTTCTCTACATATATAAGCAAATCTAACAAATTTAATAGATTTCAAAGCATTTCTAATATTACAAAGTAAAAAAAATAGAGGGTGAGAAGGAAACTGGACATTCAACACAAGAATAATTGCTTATATAGAATCACTCTCAATCCATATTACTTGAATTTTAACAGAAATAATCAAAATTAAAAATTTGAGATTGTCATGGTAGATTCTGTTTTTGTTTAGTAGAAACCTGAGTTTTGGTTCTCCTCTCCTTGCTGAGCTTTGAGGAATTTATTTTAGTATTTATATGTATTTTAATTTTAACTTATAATGTCTTCATCAATCGCATTTGCATGCTCTTATATAATTAAAAATAAAAATATGATTTTATTTATTACCAACACATTGTGTGTTAGATATTAAATAATTTTTGTTAGTATAAATTAATTTTAAAAAAAATTAAATTTTCAATAAAAAATTTAAAGATATTTTATACTAATAAATTTATTTGTTAGTATAACTAGTTTAACAAAATATCTTATCTTTTTACACTCATACTTTTTATTTATTTATTAATTACTCGAATACAGGATGTTAAAGAATCATTTTTGTTAACAAAATAAGTGCAGTAAACTATACAAAATAATCCAAATCCACTTTTTAGTTTCATTACAATATTATATTCTTAGCTAAGTATAACTAAAATTTTTGAACAAAACACAAAAATGTTTGCTGGAAGGAATACAGTATGAATCACTCGCTGGCCCACATCATTATTATGTAAAGAAGTTAATAACAAAATATCTGACTCGAATTTTTCTCTAATTCTTGATGGTGATATAATTATTTTCTTCATAGAGATGTTCTGTGTAATTGACCATTACTACACTTAAAGTGATGCGGAACTAGCCTTTGATTTAACGTGCAGAGGGTCAATGGCTCAAAACTTCTACTTAGAGGCTCTGAGTTTAACTTCTGTAACATTTGCATCTGCAATGACCAACCTTATACCAGGCCTGACATTTATCATGGCCGTTTCCTTCGGGTAAGTATTAGCCTCACCCTTACAAACATTATTTATTCATCTCCTGTGTGTAATTCTACTATTTCTTTGTGTCTCTTTTCTATCAAGTGTATACAAAATTAATCTAATTATCAATCCTTCTTATCCTTTTCAACACAATTTCTTTTACCACATAATCAATTAAAAGACGAGAAAATTGATCAAATGAATGAAAATTTGAATCACTTTGCCAAATAGAATAATGCATTATTTATTTAAATGTCGTCAGTATGGAGAGAGTAAATTTGAGATCAGCAGCAGGGAAGGCCAAAATACTCGGTACATTAATTGGAATTGGTGGGGCAATGATACTAACTTTCATTAAAGGTGCGGAAATCAAATTTGGGGCCTTCCACTTAAATCTTTTGCATCACAGAAACGGTGCGCACTCACAGGCTATTAGCGGTGGTAAACCCGTTTTGGGTGCTCTAATGGCCCTCTCAAGTGCCATCTCTTATGCACTGTGGCTCATTATTCAGGTCCATTTCGATTTTGCAAAATAAAGTTTTAATTGCTTTATGTATGTTGTGCTGCTATCTCTCATTTTTATAACTAATGATATATTTAACAGTCGTTAGAATATTATTGAGCTCTTTAATTGGGTGCTTTAAGATTTATTTAGGTTCAGTCTATTTGTAATCATGAAAATCAACATTAGTTATTACTCAGCTCTTTAATTGGTTTTATTGAATTTTGAATTATTGTTGCTCAGGCAAAGATGAGTGAAAGATATCCAAGTCATTATTCAAGCACGGCGATGATGTCTTTATGGGGGTCACTGCAATCCATTGTGTTTGCTCTATGCTTTGAGAGGGACTGGAGTCAGTGGAGGTTGGGTTGGAATGTTAGGCTTTTGACTGTAGCCTATTCGGTATGTTATTTGCTTAATAATAATATTAAGTTATGATGGTGATGATTTTTTAACGTATGTAAGAAAATAATAAATATTTTTTTATTAAAAAAATTATAATATGTAATGTAATTTATGTATTAGATTTTATAATTTTTAATAAATATTTCTCATATATGAATTCTTGTCGTCAGAAGGATGGTAATGATAATGCATTATTTTTACATTAATTTGATTATATAATAAAAAATTAATGTGAAAATATCATTATTAATTATTGTACATATGGCTAAAGATAGTTTGTTTGGTCAACTAAATATGGGTGAGGATAAATTCTGTGAATTGACTTGTGTAGGGTATAGTGGTCTCTGGGGTGATGGTGGTTGTGATTTCGTGGTGTATTCGCATGAGAGGGCCATTATTCGCCTCTGTTTTTAGCCCCCTAATGCTTGTGATGGTGGCCTTGGCTGGTGCTACGATGTTGAACGAGAATCTACATCTTGGATGGTATGTCTGCCTTTTCTTTGATTATTTTCATCAATCCCATTAAGTATTGCGTAGTGCATTGTAACATACATATATTTATCACCCTCAAAATGCAATTAATAAATGCTTGGCTCTGCAATTTCATGATTTGCTTTTGTTACTTTCAGCATCATTGGAGCAGTATTGATCGTGTGTGGGTTATACGTGGTTCTGTGGGGTAAAAGCAAAGAGATGAAGAAGAAGAATCAATTAGTGCCAGCACAAGGCACCCCTGAGTCTAACACAGTGGAAATAGTTGTGAGCTCCGCAGTAGAAGATAAAAGCAACCATAATAACAACACACATCATATGGATGATTCATCCGCAGAGGAGCACTGCTCACATTTACACAATTAGTAAAAAGGAGGGAAAGAAGAAAATTCTAATAATGCTTCACATCACTATGTATTTAATGCCTTAACTTCAATGGATAGGTATAAACTAAACAAATAGGTAGGTTTCCTTCTTTTCCCATAGCCCCAACGTTCTACGGGCAATTTTGGTAGTGTCAGGAAATGGAAAGCACTTTCAGTTTATATATTCCCTTCGTCTTTATGTTCCAACTGTAAAGAACAAAGCTTGTATCCATCTTAAATCTAAAAATTAATGCGTTCAACGTTTTTTCTAGGCACATGTGGATGGATCTGTTAATGGTTTTTGGCTGAAAGCTTTTCAGAAAACTATAACTACGGAATGTGTCTGTATATATATATATATATATATATATATATATATATTGTTTAGCTTGCAAGGCTAATCTCACAGATACAATAATGATTGTTATTGGTTTGTAATCAAGAGTTCAGCCATGAAAAATAACTCACGTTTAGTTTATTACTTGTATCTAAGACTACAAATAAGTTAATTTATTTAAGTGTTTATCAAAAACAATATTTTTCATAAACTTCGTGGAAATACCGTAAAATAAATTTTAGGAAAACTTAATTTACAACACATAAATTATTTTCATTTAATCAAATAAGTTTCATATATATAAATTCTGTAAATTGACCATGGTGTTTATGGTGATTCATTGGATTGGATTTAGCTGGTATATATAAACATGTGTAATTTAAGCTTAAGTTTCTTTATAATTTTTAAATTAATATTTTCATCAAATATATATTTAGATAAAATCTACAGTACCCTTTATAATTAAGAGAATTTAATACTTTTTTATACATGTGAAAAAATCATTACTGTTAATTTTATCCTATTATATGGTAGAATTAGTAGTTTAATTAAAAGAGATGTTAATATCGCTTAATCTTTTAGACATCCACAACGGTTGATTAAAAAAAGTAAAGAATACTTTTACAAGTTTATGAGTAAAGATATCAAACATCTATATTTTAAGTATTTTAAATTTATCAAATCGATATTTAATAGAACAACTTTCAGAATAAAGTAAAAATAAAAAATGAAAGAATTTTTACTATGAAAATTAAGTAATGATATTTTTTTTACACACTATTAAATTTTATTAAATATAATTGTTTTCTATGATAAAATTAATAATGGTTTTTTAATATGCGTCTAAAGATCCATAATAAAAAATTGATAAATGTATAATAATTTGATATAATTAAAATTTTAACTTATATCCCTAAACACACAATAAAAAAAATTAAAATAGCAGTTTTAAATCATTAAATACACCCTGAATAAATAATTATGAGCTTTCAATGAGAGAGACGAATCACACTTTAATTTGAATTATTTGTATAATCATCACACTTAAGCTAAATTAATTATTTATACGTTAGCTTAAATAATCACTTACAGTCTGTTTTTGCAACTCTCTTCTAAACTAGGATCTTATAGCGTGTAAAAAACATTTTGGGTCATATATATTGAGTAGAAAAATAACTTTTGAATTATTTATAAATGGATTTGAACACCAAAACTTGAATCAATTAGAGAAGTTAAAACTACAGTGAGTTTTGTTAACTGAAAAGAACGTGCACTGAAGTTGTGGATTCTCATGTGATAATAATAATGTGTAAAGTTGTGTGTCCATTATCTTTTTGACGAACATTGTAATGGCCAACTGGGAAGGAACTGAATCTAAACCACGAAAAATTGCAGTTGTGATCATGAATCATGAATCAACTAGTAAATAGGAATACGGATACAGAGGTCGTTTCCAAGCCACACCTTTTACTGGGTCCTCTCATAGTGTGGGCGAGGAGACAAATCAATTGACTTGTAATCAAGAAACCATGTCTATGTAAAAGTTGGATAAACTCCTGCTAGCGTAGGCTTTTTGATAATTTCAACAAAGTATTTATCAAATGAATATAAAAAGTTATTTATCCATTTGAAATAATCTTTTGTCATATGATATGATTACTGATTTTTATTTTTATTGTTTTTGCAGTTATCATACTGTAACATCCAATAATCGCAATTTTTTGGATAAGTGCAATTCACCAACTGTTACCACGCAACTACTATGCATGTCTGTATTATATAGTATTTGAATATTATTTTATTTGAGCACTAAAAATTAGATGAATAAGTTAGCTATTATAAATGCGGGTAATCACACTCTTAATTATCATAGGACGCGGATGAAATATATTTTGACGAGAATTACAGCTTATAGATTAAATTTATTTAAATAAAAAACCATTTAAGTAAATCTGATAAAAAATAATTTTTATTTAAGCTAAAAAATTTACTTAAATTAAATTTAATAAAAAATATTAATTTTTATTTAAGTTACAAAAATTTTCTTTAGGTTAAAATTGTGAAAATTTTTATAATTTTTATTTTTTTTTAAATTACATCAAATTTAAAGAACTTTTATATAATATCATATGGTTACACTTTATGATCATTTTTATTGTTTTTCATGCATGTACAAATGATTTTGTTTTAAAATAGATTCTTTAGGGGAAAAAAAAGAGTAACAAAAATCACAAGTATGTTAATTAGAAGCTTCTCAATATTTTTTGTTCAATTATATCTTTTGAAGAAATGATTTATCGAATAAGAATTGTCATACCACAAATACCACAAAGACCTAAAGTCTTAGATCATGTAGCAACGATTTTTTAACCAATTTATCAAAATCATCATCTTTATAATCAATATCATCATTCTGAATAATTTAATTTAATTTCAAATGATTACACCTCATCAAAGTTTAACACAAGTAACACACTAAATAATACATTTAGAATATTTGGTAAAATAATATATGTAAGAGTCTTTCGTAATTAGGTAGTCATCGATAAAAAATAAAAATTTCTCAAATTGGTTGTATTTTAAAAAAATCAAATTTTGAAAGTTTTTACAATTTTGACTCAAACGAATTTTTTTTACTTAAATAAAACTCACTTTTTCATTAAATTCGCTTAAATAATTTTTTTACTTTAACAAAAATTACTTTTTTTTTAAATTCGCTTAAGTGATATAAATTCGCTTAAGTGATTATTTTTTTAATTAAGCGTATTTAAACTACATGTTTTAGTTTCTGCCAAGATTACAGAAAATCTAGATCCTAATATTTTGATGGTAGTTTCTTTTCTAGTTATTAGTATTAAATTGGTATTAGAAGAGGCTAATCATGCTCTTTCAAGTGGTTCATATGACTTAAACGATGAGTCCTTTTTATTTTAATATTTTGGATCAGTTTTTTTCTTTAATTTTTTTTATTTTAGATAAAATATTTTGAGAGTTGACTTTTCTAAACATGTAATAGTTTTGTTGTTATTTTTGGATTATAAATCTTATTAATTAAATAAAGTATGATACCAATATATGCAATTAAATAAGCATAATTTAAGAGTTTTTTAATATATATTTTAAAATATAAGGAGTTATTTAGTTTGAGAATTTTTTTAATTATAAAATTTTATATTATTTTTTTTATACTTTTAATTTTTTATAAAAATAAAAAATATACTTTCATGTTTTTACATAAATTTTTAAATAAAAATAAAAATTAATAAAGTATTTTTATAATTTAAAATTAATACTTTGTCAAATCAAATAATATTTTATTTTTACCATTGAAGTCCTTATGATATATATATATATATATATAAAGCAATAACAGAACTACTATAATCTTAAAACACAAATATGAAAGATGTTAAAATATGCAAAACTTTAAATAAAAGTTAGAACATAGAACATCATAGTGACGTAGAATCAGCTCAAGATTGAGGGAGGAGTGAAGAAAAATGGACAACAGTAGTCCAAACAGAACTAATTCAGAAGGAGAAGGAGAAGAAAATAAAGAAATACATAAACAATACTTTTATTCAAATAATAAACAACAAAAGCTTGCAAAATTATCTCATGTAGAGTTTCTCTCTCTAGTATCTTTTTCTAAGATTGGTAAATGAAAGAGTACCTCATAACATGGTTGAGGCTTCCTTTTAAAGAAAATTAAAAGCTTTATTTCTACAGTTCATGTCATGCCTAATGGAGTTATATCTAAAATACAAGTAAACTTTTAATTATCATTTAAATTTATATCGAAACTATCATATTCATTTTGGTAAAATGCATATAAGGGTCTTTTTGGTGACAAAGATTGTACCTCCTCATCTTTTTGGAGTAATTGGAGAACATCCTTTAAGTTGTTCTTAAAGATTTCTTTTGATATGCATTGTTAAGAGTCTAGTAGTATGTAGTTTTTTAGTTAATTTTAATCTTATTTTCTTCTTCTTTAACTTCTGATTTTTCATTTTTTCTTCTAAATTTATTAGAATTCTAGTTTTTACATTTTTCTTACCTTACTACTGTTATGGATGAAAATTGATAAAGTTTGGATATTGATTGCATGTTATTCAACGCCAAGGCACAGACCTATGTGTGCCAAGGCGCCACTCAAGTGTGACAATGTGCTGTCAGGTCATCCTATACCAAGGCGCTAGCTTGTGTGCACAAGGCACTTATCATGATTAGCTAATGAGGTTGCAGGACTTTCAACACCAAAGTGCAGACGTTTGTGCATCAAGGTGCAAACTTACTAATGTGGACAACAATAAATATTGTATATGATAAAAGGGATTGGAAACATATTGTAAAAGGAGTAGGTTTTTTTTTTTTTTTTTTTTGCAAGAGAGAGCCAAGGAGCAACTCTTTGAGGGCAAGAAGACCGGACCCATACGTGGGTCTTTGGAGAGAAAGATTGGAGAAGATTCCCAGACTCATTTTCTTCTCAAGAATATGACAAAGGGGACATCTCCTTCTTTTCCTGTATTTTTCATTTCTATGATGGATTGCTAAATATTTTGTAGTTAGGGTTGATGAATTCCTTTGGGATTGTGATGTAATTAGATTCTTGACTCTAGTTTAAGTTTTTTTTTTATGTTAGCTTGTAAATCTATTTTTAATGC